CTGGGGATGGCGAACCAGGAGGGGCCGGAGCGCGGTCCGCGCGGGGCATCCTGGGTAGAAAGTGGCCGCCTGGCCCGGCAGAGCACAGGCCCGGGTCAGAGGTCAGGCCCGGAGCCGCGCAGTCCCGCGCCGGCGCAGCGGCGGGAGGAAGCTTTTTGTTTTCCAGTCAGCGTGCCCGGCGACCGACCGGGCTGCTGCAGGCCGGGAGCCCCGCGCGCCCCACCGCCCCGCACCTTCCCCTCGGCTCATCCAGTCACCCGTTCGGGGCGGGCGGGCGCGCAGTACATTTGCTTTAACAACAAGTGGGGGTGGTTGTTGCATTTACTCCTCCCTCGCGTCTCCTCCCCCTCTTCGCCGCGGCTCTTGACACTACTACAAACCAGGACTATAAACATAAACATGTGTCCCTGCCACGGGGCGGCCGTGTACGCATTTGGAAGTGGAGTGAGGTGGACTGGGGCTCGGACGCCGCTTGGGGGTCAGGAAAAAAAAATGGTGTTTCACGTGCTCGACGTCTTCGGGGCTCCCCACACAGGGATCCATTTATATACAATGCTGCGAGCACCCGGTCACTTACTCACACAAACCCACAAAGTAGACGTCCCGATAACCAGAGTTCCCCAAGCAAATGCACTTGGATACGATCCCTCTCCTTTGCAGCCACCTCTGCCGTTCCTTCTTTCAGCAAGCAGGAGCGTCAATCCCCTTTCCTTACAGAATATTCCTTTCCGCATAACAGTAGAGATCAACTTTCGACCTACGTCGTACACCACTCTCTTGCCATAGAAAGTCCCTACACATTCTGTGCTCAGAGATCCCCTTCAAACAGCAAGAAAGGCTGTTGGAGGCTTAGTTTGCAAAGGTGTCTTGGCCTTTGCCTTCATGTATTTTGCAACTTCTGCTGCAAGTTGCTGCGCCTGGCGCTGTGCAGATTCGTCACAGCCAACCTTTATTATTATTTCGTCTATATTCACACTGCCTCTCAGCTTTTCTCTCATTCTTGGTTCAACAACCCCATCAACCTACCACTTAAGGCAGAGTAAAGCAAATCCCCCCCGCAAGCTTTTGGCTTGAAACAGGAGGGAGATACAGAAAATATTCAGATGGGGAAGTGGTTCCCTTTGTTCTTTCGTTCTTTCTGAACTGGTGGATACAAGGCCAAACACTTACCTTCTCTTCTTCCTCCAAAAACCAGCCGCTCCCATCAGCTTTAAAATACGCAGTCCACCTTGCGAGGAACTAGGAATGTGGGGAGAGTTTGTATTCCATTCTTTTTCTCCCTCTGCCCTCTTTTAGCGTAGGATTAAGTTGCGGAGCACGTTGCCGCAAGCTGTAGACCCCCGCCTTAGTGAATCGGTCACGTTTAGGACCCTCTCAGTCCATCCTAATTCTGCCAGTAGAATTGAGGGTATTGGAGCTCCAAACTCTCATAAAGAAAGGAGCCTGTAACTCTCCAGAAAACTTACAAATACCCTGCAATTTTTTTTACCATTGATTTTTGTACCACCTCACCAAATAGTGTTTGTTTTTTTTTTTTTTTAAAGGTATTTCTTGGAGGAAAATATATCTTTGTTGTTGTTCAGCTTACACTTAGCAAAGAATTACTTAGAAGGAGCAAAAGGCAGGTTTGTACAGATGAGTATTTCCATAACGGTTCTTGTGCTGTGTGTTTTTAAAAAACAAACAAAATACCACTACTACAGGAGAAAGGAAGGCAACAACGTTTGAATTAAAACTTTGGGGACCAACTGTGGACGAGGCATTTATTTGAAATTTACTAGTGTCAAAATTATTCTCGGGTTTTGAAAGTATGCTTTTTAAAGTTAACAGACTTAATTGTTACTCTATGATCACAAAATAAAAAAAAAAAAAAAAATTTCCAGTTCATAGTGTTTAGTGACCATCCTGATGGGCAGTCCTGCTCAAACCTTGTTTAAATTCGACCATGTTGTGATTTGCTGATGGCATGAATATAAATGAATATAAAATACTTACATGTCCATAAATTCAAACTTATGGGGTTTCTCTCCTCTCTCTCTCTCTCTCTCTCTCTCTCTCTCTCTCTCTGTGTGTGTGTGTGTGTGTGTGTGTTTCCAGGATCTAAATCACTAGAAGACAGTGATTGGCTCTAGTACTCCTAGAAGGATTTGGGCTGAAGCCAGGGGAACAGAACCAGAGGATTCCCTTTGCAGGGATGGTCAGGCTATTCTGTCTCCTCTTTCCTTTCCTCCTGGGTGCTTAGGATTTAGAGTGGCTTCAATAGCCCTAGGTAGGCCTCAACACTGGTATCATCTCTCCAGTTCCCATGTTTGGCCTTTATGTAAAATAAACAAAAACTTGGGTAACCCCAATAAATGTTGGTTCTTGAGATTTGTGTATCATTTAATAGACGAAGGTTGAACTCTACTTTTTCTGAGTTTGTCCCCCTCTATTCAAGACCAACTATGAAAGGCCCCTGTGTCTCACAGGAAAATATTGCAACAAAACAAGATAATTGGGGGGAAAGGCGGTTGCAGTAGGAAAAGTGGCTTTTCTTTGATAGCATTTAATTGGAATTAAAAGATTCTTGAGCTGTAAACATTCTTTATTTATTCAGCACACATAAGCAGGCATTGTTTTATCACCATCATAATTATGGTGTCCTTTAAACTGGCTGATGGCAGGACAGATAAGAGACTGTGCCTGCAGATTCAGATCAAGCTTCACTCCTTTTTTTTCCCTTCCTCCCTCCTCTCTGTGCCCTCTCCCCATTCTTTCCTTGGTCACTAGGGTCTCCCACAGCCCTGGAGATGAGAAAAGCAGGAAAATTGTGGCCAAACCATCTCTTACATCATGAAAGTGGTTTGTACCACACTCTAATGCGGTCTATAACCTTCTTGTCCTCTATGTTTATAACTGTTTTTTAGCTTGCAATATGGGTTATCTGAAGAGTTGCCTAGTGCTCACCTGTATAAAATCTCATCCACTAAGGTTTCCAGTTTTACCTTTGTCTAATTTAGAAAGCACACTCTGAGGGCTTTTTCAGAACAAAGCCTCACAAAACCCCTTTACCTCCAAGGATTTGCAAATTTATAAAGGCTGCATTGAATTCAAGATGGGTCAGGGGGCAAAAAAAGGGTAGAAGGTCACTGCATTTTGATTATGGGTCAATAGACAACATGGCACATACTCTGCATCCCAAACTTCTGTTAAAGACAGGATTTTAAAATGCCTAAGAACAGAAGGATGGGTCCATTGGGAGACTTGCCCTGAAATATTTGAATGAGCTTAAAAAGAAAAAAAAATTAAGGAAAATATACTGTTATAATTTATTCATCATTTTAGCCATTTCCTCTTCTGTTCCATTTCCCCTCCCTGAAAGGATGGAAGATGTGCTATCAGATATGCTTAACGAAAGAACTTTTGAAGTTTTATTGTCCTACATCTTCAACCAATTCAGCCATGTTAAGGCTTTATTATTTTAGACCTCATATTACAATTATTATAGTTAATTTTAGTTTACAGTGTAAAGGACGTCTTTTATTCTTCTAACCAGTGTACTTATATTACTGGGGCCTTTGTCATGTTCCTTACTCTTTTCTCTCTGAATTCACTTTGAACAAAATGTGCCCAGCAATCAGTAAAACAAATGTATATGTTGAAAGAGTTAGGTGGTGGTGGTGGTGGTGGTGGTGGGTGTGTGAGATCCTCCTTTAAATTATGTATGTATGGGTGAGAGCTTGGAAGAAAAAGGATTATTTTCATACCCTTCAATACTTTAATTATACAACAGTTGGAGTATAGAAGTGCAAAAGTACTCTTAGGTTTTCCTTCAGGTTTTCAAAAGAACTTTCCCCATTAGTAAACTACTCCTGCAAATTGCTATTACATTTCCCAGCTAACCATTTAAAAGACTGTAAATGCCGTGTGCATTACTTCGCTCTAGAGGAAAGAGGTCAGACTGAATTGCTATGGTATTTAAACATAAAATACAGTGAAAATAAATCAAAATAGAGCATCCGAAGGTGAATTTAGCACACTCATATGAGAGAAGTAAAGACAAATATGTTCAGCTCTTCATAGCCCATCCCTTTAAAAGTGCTGGGTTTTGTTTTTTTACAATAAATGCAGAAAGAAGTGGACATTAAGAATATATTTGAATCTGTATTTGCTACAGAGAATTTTTCTCTAGCGAGCATCTTTTCTTTGAAAACAAAGCTAAAATGCTTTCTAGGATAGTGTGTAGACTTTACATTCTTCTATGAGTAAATGATCACATTTCATTAACAAGCTCAATGCACATTGTGTGTGTGTGTGTTTGCACACCTAAATGCACAATAATTCCCTGACCTGAACTCACACACACACGTAAATATTCATTTAAGCATATCCATGCACATATATACATGTATTTAAGAAGCATAGAAATTGATATATTCTTTCTTAAAAAGAATTTGAATACAGTCCATCATCTGAATTGGGTTCATCTTTGATTGCAGAGGCGGCTGACATGGTCAACAAATTTATCAAAGAAACCCCCTGGCTTTTGAAGAATAGTACTTTATACATCTGGATCTGCACATCCAGGCAAAGTAAGTAAATTATTGCATAACTTTAAGCATAATTGATAACAGATACCTTTAATTTTTCATCCCTATTCTTTTGGCCAGCTTTCGCATTAATAATCTAAGCCATAAATGTTGGTAGCTATTGATCGAAATCCCCGGTGTGCATGCAAATCCATCTTAAAGTCCCCTGCCTTTCATGTGTGAGCGCTCAGGGGCCTCTTCTAGGTCTTTTTATCGGGATCGACCCCCAATGTGCCTGGAGAAGACCCCTGATATGCAATGTGTGCTGATGGCCACAAGAAAGCTGTCTGTCACATTCTGTGTGTGTGTGTGTGTGTGTGTGTGTGTACACAAGCCCCAATGCTGGAGCCTTAACACACACACACTGGGATGGGGAAGTTACAGGAACAAAAGAATGTATTAGACAAAAAGAAAAATGTGTAATAGGAGTATTAAAAATGCATAAGTGTAAAGGTGTCTGTGTGCACATACAGAGACATTGGATAAACGGAGCATAGAGACATAGTCCTCACATCTCTTGTTCTTTATTTTTTTCTAATTAGTCCAATAGATTATACTTTGAAATAATACTTAATATTGTACTGGTTTTCAGAAAACACCTATATTTCTAGTATCTTAAAGGTGGAAAGGGAAGATGGGAGAAGAAAGGAAGTAAATTTGAAATGATTACTAAATCATGCTGCTATGTGCAGGAGGAATAGGAGGGAGAAGGGAGGGAGGAAGGGAAGAAGGGAGGGAGGGAGAGAGAGAGAATCTAAAGGATCCAGAGCAACTAAAACTACCTGCCCCCCAACCCCCCAAAAAATAGTGGCCAATCTTTTGTAATATCTTCTCAAAGCCTTTTTTTTTTTTTTTTTTTGAGTTTACTATTTCTTGGCTGTTGACTCTTTGGTCTAAATCTTAGAGCTGGAGGAGGGGAATGGGCGGGGGTGGAGTGGGAGGGAGAGGGCTGGCAGTATATAAGTGCATCAGGAGGAATTTTAAAACATTGTCACTGGCAATAGAAAGAATCTGGTCATTCTACTTTAAAACAACAAACACCAGCATTTGCTTTTCCTGGAAACTTCGCTTTCGGCTTAAACCTCGAACATTTTGCCTCCTGTGAAAGTGAAAGAGAAAGACGCGGTGTGATAGATCCAGATGCAAAAGAAAGCTAACTCGGCGGATGGTATTAGCTGTGACGAGGCATTGTTCATTGCTGCCTCTCTGCTACGTTTAAAGCCTGAAATATCACGAGATCCATTCAATGATCCTTCTCTCATTCAAGGGACAAAAATGTAATTTACTGTAGCTCTGATTTCTTGGATGGAAATGCTAGCTTTAGATTTCAAAGGCAAGAGCTAGACATCGCGGTTTGTACACACATTGATTAAGTTGAAGAGCGGCGATTACATCTGTGCTGAGTGCAACAGTAGTAGTTCAGGGCTGACTTTTCAAATCCCAACCTCCTGAGTTCCAGACTCTCTTAAATAGACTTCCTTAATTTCCGGATGTACTTCTTGAAATTCCCAATTCTCTTCAAAATTCCTGGGAAAATTACAAGGGAGATGAGGGTGGGGGTGGGGAACTATGGCCGAGATATCATCTTGTCAAGCAAACTACCTTTTTGTATGCCTGATTCCTTTTTTTTTTAAATTAATTAATTTTTTTGAGCCATACCCACTCCTACTAGCCAGAACACAGCAGGGAAACTGGAACTTTTGAATGTGAAGAATTATTGTACAATTTTTTTTGCAGGTTCAGAAATATCTATTTATTCTTTAACCTCACGGATGTGTCTAATTTTGGAGGAAGATGGAGACATGTAGATGCCTGGGTTGCATTTATGCTGTAGTTGCAAACTCCGAACAGTTACGAAGATTTTGCCGAAATTTGCAAAGCAGCCAACAAACTGCCTTGGGATCCTGGTAATGCCAGTGGGAAGACCCTTGCTCTTACTTGGCAATATTTTGGATATCCTTGAAATCAACAGTAAACCATGCCTTCAATTGACTAAGAAGAGGTTAAACCGTATTGATATTCATCCAAAATCAGATGCCTGGCTTTCATGGGAAAAATAGGAGCTGTGGAAGACTCATCTAAACTACCAGCCAAACCATCATGGACCACTGAAACAGCTTGCATTGCACATTGCCACTTTCTTTTCATCGTTATTATATAAAACCTCTGGAAGAACCTTGGACTCTACATTCTGTTCTCTCTGCTGCCGAAGGAAGTAATCTGTTCCCTGTAATTCAGATCTGTGGGGAACAGGACCCTGGCAAAGGCTTGTGCTGGGGACTTTAGGACGATCCCGCCTCCAGTCCAGCCTGGTTAATTGTGAAAAGTGTACACATTTCTGGCGTATCTATGCTTTGTTATGGGGCTGACGCGAAACTACCTCCTCCCCACCCCACCCCACAGCAGAAAACCGAAATCCAGTTGAACTGTTACAGTGTCTCGGAGCTGGAGCCTGGAACTGCTTGCTTCCTTGGTCAAATAACTTTGTTTCTGGTTGTAAAAAGGCTTTCAGGGGGGTAAAAGGGAAAATCGAGAGAAATTCCAAACGTAAGTCTGCACTGGGGTGGCTCACCTCGAGGTTTAACTTTGGAGCTCCCAGCCTGTCTCCTTCTCCACTCCCATGAGGGAAATACCAGGCTATTCTGCACATTTTCCCTTAAGCTCCATTTTCCAAAGAAAAAGGGGGTGGAGTATATCTATTTGAGCTTGATAATGTTTTTAAAACGCTTGCCTTTGAAACGATAATAGCTGTATCGGTAAAATGCAAATAAAGGAAAAAATAGGCAGTATTTCTTTAAAGGGGGAATATACGGTGGCTCCCCGCCCCCCCTTAGCGTACACACACTGCTTCTGATGAAGTCTGTGAGTCAGGCTGTTTCTGAGCTCCGATAGTTTAATGGAAAGATTTATATACCGGCTGTATTATTTACTTTGGGAGGGGAGGTGGCAGTATAAGGGTATGCTAATTAGTAGGAGATTTTGGGGGGAAGGGGTGGAATATCAATTTTTATTGCATCACCTGTCAGGAGTGTCCAATCAGCGTTGGCTTTAGGGGAATTAATTGATGAAGGTGTCTCCGGACGAGCTCACTTCACTCTGTCATTTTATTTGTAGCTAAAGCAGCGGCGGGAACAGCAGCTGCATTGCTTTTCTCTGTCTCCCCTCACACTCCACGATCGTAGTGCTCCAGTGGAGAAGGAAGGAATAGAGGGGCCCAGGTACTGATCCGCAGCGAGGACTCAGACCAACACACTGGCAGATCTGAACCCGGATGGTTTTCTCCCTCTTTTTAAAAAAAAAACGAAAACCAAAAAAAAAAGCGAGAATCAAGTCAGTGTAATTTCATGGGGTTCCCCCCCCCAACAATTCGCCTAGAGTTTGGCACTCCCTTCGCCGGGAATAACAGTCTTTGTTATTTTATTAGCAGGATGCCTTGAGACACACGCAGCATCTGGCGGAAGATTAACATACATACATGTGTATGTATGCGTCACGTATATATTTACTGCAAATGGTGGGGGTCATTTAGTGCCCGAGATGGGAGACCTGAAGTCAGGTTTCGAAGAGGTGGATGGCGTAAGGCTCGGCTACCTCATCATCAAAGGCAAGCAAATGTTTGCCCTCTCCCAAGTCTTCACGGATCTGCTGAAGAACATCCCGAGGACGACCGTGCACAAGCGTATGGATCATCTCAAAGTGAAGAAACACCACTGCGACCTGGAGGAGTTGCGGAAACTCAAGGCCATCAACAGCATCGCCTTCCACGCGGCCAAATGCACGCTCATCTCCCGGGAGGACGTGGAGGCGCTCTACACCTCCTGCAAGACGCAGCGCGTGCTCAAGACCAAGCGCCGGCGGCCCGGCCGGGCTCCGGCCACCCCAGCACCGCCACCCGAGCGCGCCAGCCCCCGCCCGGCTCCCTGGAAGGACCCGCCGCGGCTCTGGCGGGGCCTGAGCGGAGCCGAGCGGCCGCCAATCAGCGCGCAGTCCCCGCGCCCCGCGCGCCCCGCCGCCCAGCTACCTCCGGTTTTCTGTAAAGCCCCGGGCTCGCGCTACCCGGATCTGGCGCGCTCGCCCTGCAAGCCCCCTCCGAACTACGAGACGGCCCAGTTGCCGGGCAGCTACGTCGCCGTGCACTCGGACCCCGCTTATTTCCGGAGCCTGCTGTGCAGCAAGCACCCGGCCGCAGCCG